GGAGTAGGAGATTGATTTGAAGTTGGAGTGATCCTAAGATCTAAAGGAGTTCTAAGATCTAGGATCTAAGGGAATCCTAGGCTCTAGAGTAGGCCCTAAGGTCTGGCTCTAGGAAAGAATCCTAAGTTCTAGAGTGGAACCTAGGATCTAGAATTAATTTGGAGTTTGGAAGGGCCTTAGTGACCTCATACAAAAATGAGGTCAACAATCTCATAGGTCAGATTATCTAAACTCTACCCTCATATAGGGAAGTGTCTAAAGTAAGGAAAGAAGAATGCATTAAAATACATGCGACCTTAGACAACCTACGACTTATTTTCCTAGATCGTTTATCTTTCTATGTTATTTAATTCCTATTTTTTTTTTAATTATGATTAGAAGAATTTTATCCCTATGAATAAGCAAGAAAGAAACTTATAAAAATATGTCATTTCTACTACACAAATAAAATAAACAATCAATCAAAATAAAAAATCAACCAGAGTAAAAGTGTTCAAAGTTCATATAGTCAGGCTCCCCCGACAACCCGAATTCTTTTCCTATAGAATGACGCAAATCTAAAAAATAAAGCATTTTAGTCTTGATCTTCATCTTCTTGCTCTTCTATCTAATTCATTCCTCAATTTCCTCGTAATTCATCATTCAATAGGATATCCAAATAAGAAAAAATTCCTTATAAGGAACTTTCATTTCTCTTTGGATCCCTAGTATTTTAAAATATCCTATTTTTGAATTTTCACAACTCATAAATCAAATTACATTTTTTTTCTTAAGAAAAAAAAAACTCTGTACTTCTATATCTTACTAAGTAATTTATATATGAAAATCATAATCACAGAAATCACAGAATAAGAATTTGCTCATTTTTTGAACAACCTATAAGCTTAACCATGCTTTTCTTATTATTAAGGGGCTAAGCATTTTGAAGCACATGTAGAAAACTTTATTAGTTTAAATCATTATTAATTTAGTCCCCTTTTTATAACCCTGCATAAGCATGACCATGTGTAAAAAATATTATGAGCATCCAAATCATTCCTAAAAATCTAACACAATAAACAACAATTCAACTTGTACATGTTTCACATGTATATCAACACATCACATAAATAGAAATAAAAATACCAATCTAACCTAAGACTTGAAGTAATGTCCTAACAAACAAATCTAAGTGTATGTAGCAGGCTACATAGTTTAGATATGTCATATATAAGGTAATTCAGTTAAAGTTACTTTCTATTATGATTTGTTGAAGGTCAAAGAAAAAATTTTAATTCAAGTTTAAATATTAATATCTTAATGTTAATTTTAACAGTTCATTTTTAGCATTTAGTGATTACTACCTTTATTATTCATCGGGGGTGTAAAGTTTATTTCACCCTCCATGGGGCTAACTTAATCTCCTCTTAGGCTCGAATTACCCAATAGTGATCAATTGTGTTAGATTAGTTTAGGTGGTTGAAAATTAAGTTCAATTATTAAATTTTGAGTTGTGTTGAACTTTTAGTTAATCTTTTATTTCGTTCACTTTAATTATTAGTAGATTATCAATTTTACTTTATTTCAAAGATTTTTAGTCTAATTCCAAATTTCTAATCATTATCCAATTTTGGTTTTGTTTTGAATTAGATGTGTAATTAATTATGAGGAAGTTAATTACTTAATGAATTATTTTTTGGGTTTTATAAGTCTTTTTATTTTAATATATTTTGATTTAGATTTATTCTCTTTTATTTTTAATTCATTTTTTTATCACTTGAATTTTATTTTTTAATGAATTTTATTCAATTAATGTTCAATTAAGATGTGATTAATATGTTAATTAGATTTAGTTCAAGTTCATGGTCAAATTCTACCATTTATGGTTGATTGATAAAAGTTAAGTATTTTTATACATTTGGTTTGGATTATCACTAGTTTTATTAATTTCAATTATTGATTGATTATGATTAAAATTATATTAATAGTACATGCTTATCCTAGGAATAAATGTCACTAAGTTTTCTATATTTAATATTTCTTAAAGGGTGCATACATCCTAAGTTTAGATTCTCTAAGATTCATCCTTAATTTTTGTCTTTAGATATCACTATTGTTTTATGGAATGAAAGGTATTATTTCTAACACTTCAGGCATACACACACATGTGTAAATGAATTTTAGGTTATATAATAAATAAGAAGTAATCTAAGAAAAATAAAGTTTCTATAGGGCCCTAAGGTTGGGGAATCACACAATCAATAGGCTCCCTAAGGGCTTCTAATTTTTAATAGAACTTATAACACTGAGAGCTATGACCCGATAAATATGCCCGTAGATCCCCCATCAAAATTAATTAGAGCGACTAATGCTCATATCCATTTATCCAAGCTCCTTCGTCTAAATAGCTCCAATAGCTCCTTGTCATTACCCTCCCAAAAGTCCCTCATAAAATTTAAAAAGAAGGGAAGATTGTATTAGAGCATGTTAATATTTAATATACAAATAATCAAAATATAATTAAATAACAACATACCATTTTTTGGGCTTGCACGCTAGCCTTGTTGTTTGCCTCTTAAAATTTTGAGTTTTGAAAGCATTCCATATATATTTTTATCTCAAGGCACAAGCAATAAAAGAAGTAGTAGAAGAAAAGAGAAGTAATTGAAGGAGAAGAGAGAGGGGTAGGAAGAGGATGAGAGTTATTATTTTCTTTCCGAAAACTCCACTTTCTAATAATCACCCAATAAATTCAACTTTCAACTAATCGCCTCTACCAAAAGTAATGAAAAGTACTTCTACTTACTACTCTTTCTACTCATGCAAAATGAAAAATCAGCATCCCCTTTTCCAAAACATAACACAATACAGTGCAAAACACTCTCTGCAAAAACTCACAATCATCAAATGACTAAAGAAGAGTAATAAAAAACTTTTAAAAGTTATAAATGAAGTTTTAAAATACAAAACAATGCACTTTTCCCACTTTCACCATAGCCATCATAGTGAAACCATATACATTTGAGAATGAAAAACTATACTTCTTCATGCCAAGCAATAAAATGACCAATCTAATAGAAGTTTGAAACTCAATATTCCTACATAAACATGCAAACAAAAAAAAATGTTATCTTGCAAACTGAGAGATGACGGGAGTGAGAGCAGCGAGCCGAAGTCCTTTCATATCAATTGAATGAAATAAAATCTCCCCTGTCGAGGCTTTCGTCTAGAAGAAATTCACACAAAAATGAAAGAGGAAGCCCGCCATTTTCAGTTCTTGCTTCCGTCTTTCGAAAATACTTGAATAAGGCATGTTTGTTGCTCCATACCTGACCGGGTCATATAAATCTTCTGCATAGAGAAATTTTGGCTATATCATAGATCATGTTTAATCATGTTCGTCTATGAAATGTATCGATTTAGGGAGCTGATTTGAATTGCTAATACATTTGATTGAGTTTTAATAGGGTTAAATTAGGCTGGCCCAGGTTAGACTCGAGTCATAATTTAATTCAAATTAAGCCAATTTGAGTTCAATTTAGTTCTATCAATCTAATTACATGAAATTAAACAAGAAATTGACATCAATTGAAAGTAAATCATGTCCGATGAGGTTGATATGTGTTGATCGAGATCAATCGAGTGCATACGAGTCAAAATCAACTAAACTGAATCAATTTGAAAACAACTTCTAATTGACACTGACTTGACTTGAACTCAGCTCATCATTACTTGATTGAGTTGATTAAACATAGTTGAGCCCACTTGGGCTGAAATCTAACTCAATCGAACGATAAACAGTATGCTCGAGAGCTGAAGTGCAAAAAATGAGGTCAACAACTCTATTGTTGAATTAATTGTATAAATAGTTACATTATATTCTTTTATTCTTTTTTTTTTTTTTACTTTTTTCATAATTATGGTTGTATGCTTAAAAGTTATTGATGGAAATCATTAATTGCTAGATTTTGATTCAGAAATTGAGAGAATCCTTTCTAAAATTAGAATCACTAAAAAGATTTTGAAAATAGATGACTCTATTTAAGACTTAGATCATTAATGAACTCTTAAGGATTTTGTAAACCCTGTGATAGATAAAATTCATCAAAGAATAAATAGATCTTCCATCCATGATTATAATTTTGGATTAGAATCTTTAATCATTCAAATGGTACAAAATTCTCAATATGGGGCAACATACATTTAGCAATTTTTTTAGAAAATTGTGCAACATTTAAGAACAATGGTATCAGTGATGATGTCATTAGACTTAGATTGTTCCCATTTTCTCTAAGAGAGAAGACTAATGTGTGGTTAAATTTTTTACCCTTAGGCTTTATTATCATATAGAATGAGTTGGCCTACAAATTTTTAGGAAAGTATTTCCACCTTCTAAGACTATCAAACTTATAAATTATATTACTTCTTTTACTCAAAATGAGAATTTATTCATGAGAGTTGAGAGATATTCAAAGAGATGCTTAGAAAGTGCCCTTATCATGTCTTACCTAATTGGTTGATAACTCAATCTTTTTATAATGGATTTATAGGATCCCTTAGAGTAATAATTAATGTTACATATGGAGGTTCCTTAATATCAAAGCCTTTTAATGATGCTTATGTATTAATTTAAAAAATGGTAACAAAAATTTATAGTTGCCTACTAATAGGGTGAATACGAAGAGAGTGGTAGGAGTGTATGAAAATAATTATTTATCAATTTTGACTCTACAAGTTGCAGCAATATTAAAGAAGTTAAGCAGTTTAAGATTAAATTCTAATTCATCTTTATATTTAAAAGAACTCATTGGAAGAGACTGATATCCAAGGGATTGAAAATATAAATTTGATTGAAAGAAAAAAAAATAATTCTTATTCAAATACATATAATCCAAATATTGCAAATATGTTTTCATGGATTATAATTTTGATGATAGCAAAAATTCATGATTTTCTACGTCTGTCTTGCCTACTAATTTTTCAGGTCCACAAGATTGAGTGCAGCTCAAGATTGGGTAGATTAAGTCTGAGTCAGATTTTATTTTTTCCCTTTCTTGAGTCTATTATAAATAATATGGTTCCTAATGCTAAGTAACCTTACACACACACACATTGGGAGAATTTCTGACTATTTCCTAGAGTTTACTATTTTTAGCAATATCATTCGGAACGATATTTATATCGGCCTCGATGATCGATTCCAAAATAGAAACCCTAATTAGGGTATTCTTGTTAAGGCAGCCGTCATTAAGCACATCGTCCTGGTCGATTTTGTCTCGGTCAAGACGATAGGCTCAAATCAGAAAGAATCAGCCACCAGATCTATTTAAGAATTACTTATTTTTGGACATCTTCTCGAGCATCAGCCTGGTCGATCCAGCACATTTTTTCCTAAATTAATCTGGTATTTAAGGAAAGCAATTAAGATTTGATTACACAATCGCATCATCCTGGACGATCACAGGATCGGCCGGGACAATCCACTAGACGATTGGACATCGAACAACTCTTATTCAGGGCGATGTTCAGGATGATACTCCATGATTTGTACTGATCGGACAGGATGATATATTATCATACTAGACGATATAAATAAATTTCTTCTGATCATCCCAAATTATCCTAGCTGATTGGGCTTAATTTACCCTGATCGGTATATCATCCTAGACGATAAAGCTGGCAAGTTATAATTAATGAGCTCATTTTGAGCTCTTCGATTTAAGCTTTGACAAGACACTTTATATGTGTCTTTGGCAGCCATTGTAGCTTCGTTATTTTGGAGGTAACTTGAAGAGAGAGCTTGAAAGGGAGAGAGAGGAAAGGGTGGAGTTTGAGAAAGGGAGAAGATTCTTGGAGGAGGTTTCAAGGGAGTATGGAGGAGGATTCTACACGGTTGCTCTGACTAGCTTGCACCTTAATACCATCGAATTCTAGGCTTGCCTTGAGGGAAGTTCTGGGAAGAAGAAGATTTCTTTGATGTTAAAGGACCCGGCTACTCCGCCGCACCGGGGAAGGTGGTAGTGATTTTGTAAGGTCTTCTTCGCCTAGCTGTGGGGGCTAAAGGAGAGACACTGAGTTTAGTACAATACTCGGAGGGTACCTCCTAGGAGTGGACGTAGGTCAAGGTTTGACCGAATCACTATAAATATGGTGTGTTCTTTTATTTATTTCCACATTTAATTTCCGTATTGTATTTTCTTTGTGATGAATTTATGTATGGTTTGTGTTTTGATTGAAAGAAGTTTTAAAATATCAATTCACCTCTCTCTTAATTAGCCTTGAGCGAGTTCATAATGGCCTAACATCCCTAACAAACTTTCACCGAGTTGGAGGAATCACCCCAATTTTAGTTGGTCAAATAATAATAGTGACTGTTAATAGAATTATATTCAAAATAACTAATGATCAAATTAAAATAATCAAAATCAAGCATATAACAATCCAAGAGCAGCTTATCCTCTTGGATTTAATCATGGCAATTAGCATGGAACTAGAAATACACCATTCAAAGATGAAGTCATGCAATTAGGAACTGAATTATAAATCAAGCTAATTCAGTTAACAACTTAGAAATTCAATTAAGTTAGCTTGTAATTTTTGTGAGTAATAGGCTAAAAAGGATAATCTTATATATAAACTAAAAAGGATAAGATGGGAGAGCTAAAATAAGGGATAGTGAACTAGTAAAAGTATAATTTTAACTATTATCATATCTAATTATTAAAACTTAATTATTCACTTCAAAAATTAAAGTTAATGATGGAATCTATAACTTATAATTTCAAATTGGGTTGTAACTAGAATGCTTAATTAGTTTAACTATTAGTATTTTTTTCAAACTAGAAGTATAGCCTTGTTCATTTTTACTAATTTTAGATAGTGATGAATATATTTTAGTAATGATAAGCTATCATTTTTTTTTATTTTGGTTAATCTTTTACTCATAATTATAAAAACTTTATTTGCTTAAGGACAAGCAAGAGTTTAAGCTTGGGAAGATTTGATGAGTGTAAATAATGTTATATTATACATGTTAAATTGCTAGTGAAACCATTTTATTTTAGTTGTATTTATACAAGAAAATGCAGGAAATATGAAAAAAAAAATTAGTATAGTACAACACCATGGCATCGAACACCATCATGGCGCCATAAATGAAACCGCCAGAGCCCTCAATATGGACATGGTGGTGCCAAGTCTCTGTTTAATTTCATCGCGACATCAGAGGACTCAGCGCTACAAAGTATAGTCTCTATCTACATAGCACCATAGCGTCAATTTCCAATGCCGCCAATCCAAGGGAAGTGTTATATGGATGTCATAGTACTAAACCGTAAGAAGCATCACAACATTATAGTTATAACAGTTCAAGATATGATATGGCGACGAAGCAACATGTCTATTCACTAAAACGTGGGTCCACGTTAGCAAGCACCACCATGGAGGAAATTTTTTAGTGTTGTGATGTTAGTTCTTTTTATGGGCACTGTGATGCAAGCGTCTTGAATGTTGTGATGCTAGAATCCATTTTATGATTTTTTTTATATATAGTCCATTTGTAATGTTTAATTTCAATCTTCACAGTGTTTCTCTATAACTTTTTTAGGAGAGAACTAATTCAACAAGAGCTTGATCCACTTCATAAGAGTGTTTGGTCAATATTTATGAAAGCAATTATGCAAGTTCAAGGAGTGTAAAGTAGATCATTAAACCCATCTAGTGATATCTTTTCTTCTATACTTTCTTTTTTTTTTTTTTTAATTAGTGAAAATTAGTTTGCTTTACTTGTTCTTCATACATGGACAAATTCTTTAGTTTTGAATTGATGGTGTACAATGTAGAATACTAATAAATTCTATTCATGAATAATTTAATGATGTTTTCAATGTATCAGGTCTTCATTTAATACATATAGTTGTCATATGTGTAATTAATAATTGGTGTAATATGGAGCCTAAGAATAGGAAATTAAGCACAACCAAGTATATTGGATTAGTATGATGCAAATACAGACATAGTCCTTAATATATAACAAATTTATATAGATGAATTATAATTAGGGGGTTTTAACAGAAAATACTTTACTTACCATTCTAAGATTTTCATATGATGACACACTATATGAGTTTTGAGTGGTATTTCAGGTTGGAAGGATTTAATTTATCCTTTGTCTCTTTATGCTTGACTAAGCTTTCAGTGATATATATGCTTTAAATAACATCAATATAAAAGAGAATAATTTAAAATATATATTATATTTCCATTCTATCAATCCAAAATATTTTATCCAGATAGTATTTTATTTTAATTTTTTATTGATTTTAAACTAAGTGATTGAATCTATACAAAAACTTTTTTATTGAGTTGGATAATTATTATAATTGTAATAGACAATACTAGTATTTCTAAGTAAATATTCTTCCTCGTGAGATTGATACTCAACTCTATCACTATATTACTTGATTGACACGTATACTTGCAATTATTAAGTAATATTTTTATAATTTTTATATCAAAGAAAACTAAAGTATTATTTAGGGATTGATAAAGAAATAAATTATTTTCACAATTCTTTAGGATACTCCACCATCCCCATCAGTTTCTCAAAGACTAGTTCAAAGGTGAAGTCAAATAAGTTGGAATTAGTGCGTATTGATGTATGATATCCTACTCAAGTTTCTTTTGTATGAGGGTATTTATAGTTTGTCACTTTATTGATGATCAAAGCAGAAAGGTATATGTGTACATCTTAAAATATAAGTCACATGTGTTTGATGTTTTAAAGATATGGAAGGTTGTGATTGAGAATAAGACAAATTCAAAGTTTAAGTATCTCAGATCCGATAATAGTGGTGAGTATCGTGATTAAAAATTTAAGTAATATTATACTTTGAATGAGATCAGACATGAACTTGTTGCAACCCATGACCCCGAGTTTGAGATTTTGATGATGCCAAATAATGAGTGACTTGGAACTGCTTTTCATTGCTTATTATTTTATTTGTTATTTTCCTTGAGCACTAACATTTCAGGAAGATCACAAGTGACTCAGGAAGAAAGGAAGACTCAAGACCGGGTAGATTAGGAGAACGAGTCAAAAATTGTATTTTTCCATTTATTGTATTTTTTACTTTATTGAGTCTGGCCACAAAATGCGAAAGAGTAAGAGCAACCATGCACACACACAGGGGGAGAATTTTTTTTTTAACTGAAAATATAAGTAAAATTCTTCTCTGGAGATCGTACTGTACGATGTTATTTCGTACAGTACGATCCAGGCTATGTGGGCAAATCTGTGAATAGATCGTACTGTACGAAGTACTTCGTACTGTACGATATGTTCAGATCCAAAAACCCTAGCCGTGACTTAATTTGAGGAAGTGATTTTTGCGCCGTTCGTACTGTACGAACTTGTTCGTACTGTACGATCTGTATTAAATACTTACTTAAATTAACACGTGATTAGTGCACGTAATCAAGGCCTAATTGAGATTTGCACATCGTAC